GGGAGGGAGGGGGGAGGAGGGAGGAGGAGTAGGATGGAGGGGAAGGGTGGGGGGAGATGGGTGGAAGATGGGGGAGGAGGATGGAGGAGTAGGATGGAGGGGGAAGGGTGGGTGGGAGATGGGGGAGGAGGAGGGAGGAAGGAGGAAGGGGGAAAAGGGGGAGGTGGCAGGGGAGGGGAGGGAGAAGAAGGGTGGTGGAAGATAGGAGGAGGAGGAAGGAGGAGGATGGGGGAGGTGGCAGGAGGGGGAAAGGGCGAGGAAGAGGAAAAAGAGGAAGAGGAAGGGGAGAATATGGAGGAGGAGGAAGGAGGAAGGGGGGGGGAGAGGAAAGGGGAAAAGGGGAGGAAGAGGAGAATGGGAAAGGAAGTGGAGGGGAGAGGAAGGGATGGAGGAGGAGGAGGAGCAGGGGTTAGGGAACAGGGGGTGAGGATGGAAGGGAAGGGAGGTAGGATTAGATTGGTGGAAGGAAGGGAAGGGGTAAGGATAGAGGGGGTGGAAATAAGGATGGAGAGGATAGGGATGGAGGGAGGGGATGAAATGTGATTTAGTTGACATTTCATTTTAAGTATAAAGAGATATCATATAATATGGAAATGTATATGTCGGCAAAATATATAGGTATGTAATGAAGAACAGGCAGTAACTGGACAATCAGAAAGAAGAGACAAAATACAGAGAGAGACAAAGACCCAAAACACCCAAAAGGGAAGGGAATAAAATGAGAAAAAATAAAAATACTGAGAAAGTCCTCCCATAAGTCCTTATCCCTTCCCCCATCCCCCTTATCCTCCCCTCCTCTTCCTCTTCCCATCCACCCCTTCCTCCTTCTCCGCCACACTCCCCATCCTCTCCTTCCTTCCTTTCCGCCCTCCTCCCTCTCCCCCCCTTCCTCCCCCACGCACACCCACCCCTCCCTCCCACCAACTCACCAACGGACTCGGCGAGGTAGGCCTATAGAGCCTGGCCACGCCCCTCCTCGCCTCGTCCTTCCGCAGCACCTTCGACGGGAGCTCCAGCAGGCTCAGCAGGGAGTCGCGCTCCACCACCTGCTCGAAGGCTCTGCTGACGAAGTTGTAGCGCACCTCGCCCGTCACTTGGCTGAAGGTCGACGTCAGCTCGATCTGCACCTCCTGCTCCTCCTTCTCGGGCTGCAGGGGAGGGGGGGAGGCGAGGGGGGAGGTGGGTTGAGGGAGAATGGAAGGGGGGGGGAGGGTGTTGGGAGAGAGTGTAAGGGAACGGGGTGTTGCAGAGGGGGAAGGGGGGTGGGGGGAAGAATGAGCGGAATGGGGTGTTGCGGGGGGAAGGGGGGAGAATGGGAGGGTGTGAGGGAACGGGGGTGTTGCGGGGGGAGAGGGGGGTGAAAGGGAGGGGCGAGGGTGTTGGGGGAAAGTGTGCGGGAAAAGGGGTGTTGCGGGGGGAGGGGGAGGGTGTGAGGGGAACGGGATGTCGAAGAATGTGAGGGTAGGGAGATGGAGGAGGGGAGAGGGAAGGGTGTAAGTAAGTAAGTGGGAGGAGGAGGAAAAGGGGTTGGGCAATGGGTGTTGGGGAAAGTGTGAAGGGAATAGGGAAGGGTTTGGGGGGGAGGATTATAAGTATGGAGGGTGTAGGAAGGCGTAAGGAAAGAGGGAGAAGCCGGGGGGAGGGTGTTGGGAAGGGGGAGGAGGGAGAGATGATCGTAGGGTAGAAGGAAAGGGGAAGGGGGAGCAAAAAAAATCTCTATGATTCTAAGTGTACTTGTGAATAACTCACAGGGAGTTGCATACGTATTCTTAGGTTCTTACTTAAGTATGGAGAAGAATATGCAATCGTCACACAAAACTACAAATAAGAATGACCAACTATACAATAAATGAAAACCAATTCTCCTCCTCCTCCTCCTACTATTACTACTACTTCTACCACTTCTACCTACCTGCTACTACTACCTACTACTACTACTACTGCTACTACCTACCTACTTCTACTACTACTACTACCACTACTACCACTACTACTACGAAATACCACTACTACAGCTGAAAAAAACCTCAACCTTAACTCTACACCACGCCCCTCCCTCCCCCCTCCACCTCCCACCGGACCCCCTTCAGTCCTCTCACCTCGTCCTCGTACTCGGGCACAAGGGACCCCATCGGCCACGCAGAAGGAGTCGCTGCAGAGAGTCCGCTCCTCTTGTTGGCGAATCTCTTCCAGTACACGGAGTCGTCGAGGGATTTGGGAGTCTTTTTGGGCTGTTTCTTGCACAGGGCGATCTTCATTCTGTAAAGAGGGGGAGGGAGTGTGAGGAAGGGAGGGAGGGAGGGGAGGTAGAGAGGGAGGGTGATGGTGGAAGGGAAGGAGGGAGGGAAGGTGGAAGGTATGGAGGGAGGGAAGAAAAGAGGTAGGGAGGGAGGGAGGGAGGGGAGGAGGGCAGGAGGGAGGGGAGGTAGGGAGGTAGAGAGGGAGGGGAGGGAAGGAGGAGGGAAGAGAGGGAGGGGAGGTGAAAGGAATGGAGACAGGGAGGGAGGGGAGGTAGGGAGGTAGAGAGGGAGAGGAAGTGGAAGGTATGGAGGAGGAAGGGAGGTAGAGAGGGAGGGTGAGGTGGATGGTATGGAGGTAGGATGGGTGGGAGGCGGAGGTATGGTGGGAAGGAGGGGAAGCGGAAGGTATGGTGGGAGGGAGGGAGGGGAAAGGGAAGGAGGCGAGGAGAGGAGGAAGGAAGGTGATAAAAGACACCAAAAGTAATGACAATGGTAAAGATGGTGATAATTCTCGAGAGAGAGGATGAAGGAAATGGAAGGGCGTTAAGAGAGAGAGAGAGAGAGAGAGAGAGAGAGAGAGAGAGAGAGAGAGAGAGAGAGAGAGAGAGAGAGAGAGAGAGAGAGAGAGAGAGAGAGAGAGAGAGAGAGAGAGAGAGAGAGAGAGAGAAGAGAAGAGAGAGAGAGAGAGAGACAGAGCGAAAGACAGCAAAAGATAAACACCAGAAAGATTTAAAAATAACCTACGCAAAGTAAGATAGAAAGAAACAGAGAAATGTTTATGCATTCACATATTACGCAATATCAAAAGACATTTACCTCTCCTTAAAAGGCTCACAAATCGAATTATCCCAAAGAGATATATACCATTAACAAATAGACCTTTCTTTGAAGTATCTTTGACACCGTCTAAGAAGCCCTTGAAAACCATCTAATGACTTCTTGATGGTCTCTTAAATGACTTTAATTGTTTTTTAAACCCTTTTTAAATGAATTCTCTGAATAACCAGCGTTACCAGCCTTTGCAGTGTTACCATCGCCATGAAGAGAAAGGAAAATGGACAAAGATTGATAAAAAGGGGAGGAAAGACGCAGAATGAAAGGAAAAGGAAAATAATAGACAGTATATATATTATATATATATATATATATATATATATATATATATATATATATATATATATATATTATTATGTGTGTGTATGTATGTATGTATGTATATATATATATTATATATATATATATATATATATATATATTATATATATATATATGTATGTATATATATGTATATATAATATATATATATATATATATATATATATATATATATATATATATATATATATATATATATACATATTTGTGTGCGTGTGTGTGTATATGTCTGTGTGCATATATACATAAATACATTTGTGCATACACACACACACACACACACACATATATAAATATATATATATATATATATATATATATATATATATATATATATATATATATGTGTGTGTGTGTGTGTGTGTGTGTGTGTGTGTGTGTGTGTGTGTGTGTGTGTGTGTGTGTGTTGTGTGTGTTGTGTGGTAATTTTCTATATTACCTTCGCCTCACCGATATCGACGATTTTCATATCGTTGGATTCCTCTCACTCTGTACAATCCAAATATGTAGGTTTTATTGCGCGGAAACCCCTTGTTAGCGGCAAACTTGGGCCCTTTATCGGGGGTGACGATGTCGAAGCGGCGGACGTAATACAGAAAATTACCCTAATAATATAACCCACAGTGAAAATATCCATGGTCATTCACATGACTTTCCCTAGCAGGGGCTGTGCCCCCTGCGACCCCCCCTGGGGGGGGCTTCCGCCCCCAACCCCCGCCGAGAAAACAAAATATCCACCACGTATTCACGGCAGGATAGAGGGCACACGAACTAGACGCGGAGCCGATAACCTACAATAACCTAGGATTTTTAAGGTACTAACCTGATTGATAAATGCCGCCGATAGTAGAGAGGGTGCTCCCTTCACGCAGAATCTCATCCTGGCTTGTTGCTACCTCGCGCAGAAAATCTATCTCGGAGTAGGAGCACCCTCCACACACTGTCATCGCGGCGGCCATGGCGAAGTACTGAATGCGACGGTTATTTCGGTTAGGATTTCGAAAATCGTGGTTCCAGGGACGGGAAACTCGACCTTGAGGCCATCGGCGTAACATCGAGAGAGGCGCAAAACCCGCCGACGAGGGCGCTCTTCTGTTCATGGTATACTCTGTTCATCCTGATTATACTACAATCGTGTCTGTATACAATGCTGACTATGTCAAGGTTAGTATGCTGATTCAGTGGGAATGTTACGAGGTAAATGTAATACGTCCGCCGCTCCGCGATCGACGAGAATTGTGTAACGCTCTAGCCTGCCGGGAATACGTGGTGGAAGTTTTGTTTCCTCGGCGGGGGTCAGGGGGCGGTAGCCCCCCCCAGGGGGTCGCAGGGGCGCAGCCCCCTGCAATGGAAAGTCATATGAATAACCATGGTTATTTTCACTGTGGGTTATATTATTAGTGTTATTTAACCTCGATTTTCTCTAGAACCTCCCATGCCCTCCCTTGCAATCGGGGCCAAGTTTCTCGCTAACGGGGGGGTTTCAGCGCAATATAACCTACATATTTGGAATGTGGACAGTGAGAGGAATCCAACGATACCAAAACCGTCGATATCGGTGAGGCAAAGGTAATATAGAAAAATTACCATATATATATATATATATATATATATATATATATATATATATATATATATATATATATATATATATATATATATATATATATATATATATATATATATATATATATATATATATATATATATGTGTGTGTGTTAATAGTTACACATATTCACGCATATATAGACCATCAACGCTCCCGAAATTAAAAGACTCACTTCTTGAGCAGCTTCTTCTGCCTGGTCCTGGGCGTGGGCTTGGCTCGGGTGCCCAGGAAGCGCGGGCGGCCCTTCGAGGAGCCCGAGTCCTTGCCCAGGATCCGCGAGAGCCGCACCATCATCTTGAGGCGCATCAGCATCGGCGACGTCGACTTCCTGCAGAAGGAGAAGGAGACGGAGGAACACTTGAGTCTTTTTTCTCTCTTTTTCATTCTTTTTTTTTTCTTTTTTTCTTTCTTACTTTTTTTATTTTTTTTATTTTTCTTTTCTTTTTCTTTTTTCTTTTTCTTCTTTTTTTCTTTTTTCTTTTTCCTTTTTTTTTTTTTTATAATTCATTTCTTTGCCTAGTTCTTTAGATTTGTGACTTTCAACGAAGGATCCGCAAGAAATAACGTAATAAAATCTTGATATAAAGGCAAACTGAATTAGAGATATATGATACTGAAGGTTAATGGTGTAAGAGCGTAATTGGTTCTGAAATTAGTTTTCTGTTACAGTCTTATTTCAACAAGTCCACAAGTAAGTCTAACACCCTTGCTGTATGCATTCATTATTATATAAATACACATATGATTACATGTACGTAATCATATGTGTCTTTATAAACAAGCAGGTTTTGAAGGAAACGTGAACACTGGTGATGGCAGTGATCTTTCCCTTAACGCTATGAGGGCTATAATAGTCCATCCTCAAATATGAATACATACACACGCACGCACACACACATCCATCCATATATACATACATACATACATACATGCATGCATGCGTACATATGAATACATGAATATATATGTGTGTATGTATGTATGTATATATATATATATATATATATATATATATATATATATATATATATATATATATATATATATATATATATATATATATATATATATATATATATATAATATATATATATATATATATATATATATATATATATATACATATATATATATATATATATATATATATATATATATATATATATATATATATATATATATATATATATATATATTATATATATACATATATCATTCATATGTATGCATGCATGTATGTATGTATATATGTATGTATGTATGTATGTATGTATGTATGAATGTATGTATGTATGGATGATGGATGGATAGATGGATGGATGGATGTGCGTGTGCGTGCGTGTGTATGTATTTACATTTGAGGAAGGACCATCATAGCCCTCATAACATTCCTGAATAAAGTGATTACACTAATGGTTCCTAACACAAAAAACATCTGTCCAAATCATTTCCAAATGTTGAATCAGCGTATGGAAATCGTGACTACATGAAATCGGCAATTCACTAAATCGCCTTTATCTACTATTGTTGTCTGCCATAACGTTTCACGCTATATCCCTTTCAAACCTAACGTTGATTAAGATATAAAGAATTCTTGACGTACTTTACCCTGTCAAATGGACCCATATAGACAGATAGACGGATAATAAACAGATAGATATAGATAGACAGATATGATATATATGAATATATTCTGGTGTCTCAAATCTTTCTGTATATTTGTGGATAGTTTGTTAAATTTGTTGGAGGCCCGAACCAGTCAATATTCACAGAAATAGATGCATATATCTGTCTGATAGATACACTCGTACATTCATCTGTTTATCCATCCGGTAGATATGAATTGCCTAGACTGATAGTTATCAATTTATTTCAGTGTATATAGGCATGTCCGTATAAGGAATGTTCACTGGGTCGGGCCTCTTTAAGCAAATCGTCCGTTAGTCTGCAAATAATGTTTTATAATTAGATATACGAAATACATTGCATAGGTAATGACATATTTGAAAGACAGCGTATATTTTCCAACTGAATCTTTCTAATATATTTGCTCTTACTTCTTACTTTCCTTCGATATATATATATTTTTTTGTAAATTTATTTTTTTTTCCTTCTATGATTAGTCATGTCAAACACAAGAAAAGAAACACGTGTATGTATGTATATATGCACGCATGTATGTACATACATGTTATGTATATATGTATATAATATATGATGTATCTATATATGTATGCATATGTATATATACGC